AAATAAAATAAGGAAACATAAATAGAGTAAATAATTTTTATATGCAATTAAAAAAGACTACTATATACAATGTTTATGTTTGTGTATTTTATTTCTCATTATATATCAGTATTTTGTGTCTTTTTATTTGTAACTCGAGAAGCAACAATGTAAAGTTCAGAATTAAAAGCCTAAAAGTAGATTCCTATATATATATATATATATATATATATATATATATATATTCTTTATTTTTTTTTTCATTAATAGAACAAATTGACATAGTATTAACGAATTTTTTATTTATATAGTTTTCTTTATATAGTTTTCCATAAATTTAACGAATTTTTTTCTAAAACCGTTATTTTTTTTTTATGAAATCTAACGATGTGGACCAAAATTTATTGGTAAACGAAAAGTTGAGTAACTAAATTGATTTAATTGGAACATCATGTACTAAATGCGCAAATATATATAGTTGGGATATAAGAAGATTCTCAAATTATTTTATTATCTTACCACATTTTATTACAGTTTGCTTGAATTTATCATGTAATTTAGATCGTATTTTGACACTTGAATATATTATTTCTTACTTGTCTGGTTTTATAATTTATAATGTAATCTTATTTATTAACTATTATTTTGTATACATATACTTACAATTTATTTATTTGTGAACCATTCTTTTATTTAAATAAGTACCATATTATTGCCTACTATCTTCATATTTTTAGGAAGGCTTTAAATATAAATTATTATTTAACATACATCATAAATAATTCACCGTGATTCAACATATCATGTACATGTAAAAAGAAATTTACTTTTATATTAATGAGAAATTAAAACAGTCAAAACATTTTAAAATGCCTACCTACAAATGGTAATAACAAATTTAGGTCCACTTTGACTATTAACCTATTATTAAAAAATAAATAAATTAATTAATTAACAGAGGTTGAAGCACGTTTAATAAAATAATAAAAATTTAGAACTAACTTTCTATAAATAGTTATAAATAGTAATATAATGAGGGACCCACTAAAAAACTTACTACTTTTAGTAAGTGGGTTGTCTAATTATATAGTAATAAATTTGGACATGTGTCAATACATTAAGTGGTGGATGGCTCCATAAGTAAAACATCCGATGGCTCCGTAGAATTTTTGGTTATATGGGTGTTGAGAACTTTTCAGCTCCGGAATTCAGCTAGTCCAGAAGAAGTTGCTTATTTTACTGTACAAAGCATTTCATTTTTGTCTCTAAGTGATTGAGCATATATCGATTTACTATGAAGATCTAGTATGCAAGTAGACATGTGAATTCGCACTTGGATGCCAATCCATTTCATTGTTTTTATCCGTTTATATCCCAAAAGGGTAATAGTTTATGGAAGACCTCAGAAGTTATGTTATTCACTACTTTCGACTATTTGTTTTGTTCAATCACCAATAACATCAAACTCATTTTTAAAGAGGAATTGCATGTTTGAAAAGTTTTGTCTGATTTATTGGTGGTCTAATCTCTGCAAACCTACCACATCACACTCCTGTAAACCATACGGTCCATACATCATCTGACATAAAAAAATAAAAAATAAAAAAAAAATGGATGAACATGTGCACTGCTGGATCATGATCCAGTTAAACATATCTTGAGGTAGAAAGAAATAAAAAAAAAAAAAAATAAATAAAAAAAATACTTGATAGTTAGTAAGATTCAAAATAGGTTCGGAAGATGCTGGGCAAACTGAGAATCAGGGTATTTTTAAATGGTATAGGATGCTCAAAACTTCTAAATTTTGATAAGTGCTAGAGTTGACTGGATACCACACCATGCTAACTTTGTAGTAATATTATGATGAGAGTACCTTTTCAAAACCGTGATGAACAATCGGCAAAACAATCGGAGTTATAGGGGCACGTGCAATAAGGCTGGCAGTTCCCCATTTCAAACGTCGTATAGGCCCATCTTCTTGGCAGACTTTCCCTTCTGGAAAGGTATGCAACTGTCATTTTGACATAAACAAGATAGCGCAAACTTCAGACATACTATTATCTCCCATTTTTAGCAAAAATAGAACTAGTAAAATAACACCAACTGTTTGCGATATCGCCAAAAACAACCACATTTATTCTTTTGATGGGTTACACCACCTAAAATTACGTACAGACGATCGGATACTTGAAATTGTTCAACTGTATACTATAACTTCTGATATGTGTTCAAGACTGATAATAATATGTGATGCGTTGGACGTTTGATTGTGAGCACTCATGAACAAGGTAAAAATACCAACATAAGTAGTTCTAATTCATGAATCGTCACTTAGGGTAAACTCCAAGGATAATCGCTGTACAATTGGCATCACGAAAAGGACATGAAATAAAAATATTAAGAAACTCTTTTGCCATTTGCCATTCCACTGGCCAATAAATATAACTTTGAAATTTAATGTAGGACTTTCAAGTGATTCAAAATTTGCATGACACGTGAAAGAGTACCCAAGCTCCATCAGCCAAGCGCTCAAGAGCCTCATCCATATGCGCCTGATAGATTCCAGCACCTCTCGTTATTGGAATACATTTCCCTGTTAAATTTTTTGATGATGACTGAGAAGTGTAAAAGATAACGGCGTTTATAGAAAACAGGCTCGCATATTATAAACAGAACAAATCCACCAAAAGATTACTTAAAATTTGAATAAGCTAAAAGATAGCACACACGTACTGGAACAAAAATTCTCCATTAAGACATAATTGCTAAAATCTGGCCATACAATATGCTTGTGATTTGCAAAAAGTGGACTACAACAGATCAACAAGCAAGAATTTTTGCATTTATTATTATTCAAACGGTATACATATTACAAAGTTCAGGTTCTCAAGTAAAGTAGCCTAAGTGGCCCCCTGAAAACTACTCTTTTCATTTTGACTACTTCAGCTAAGCTATCCTTTTAGAAGAGCAGTTACAGAATAAATCAGCAAATGCCAATGCTCTCGTTTCAAGAATTCAGCTACTTCAACATTGTTTCTATTGTCCGGAAAAATACTAGCACGATTTAGCTTTTTCAAAGAACTGAATTGTGTAGGAAATACCGATCATCGAATACAAAATGGAATGAAATTTAAAATCGGAATTTACTCACCAAGCCGAAAACAATAGGAGTACAAAGGATTTTTGAAGCATATATCTTCGGCAGCAAGTACCCATCTTCCTAAATCTGCATCAGCTATGGGGAAACCCTTGAATCCCCACATCAATGGGTCATCCAAACTGAATAGTTCGAAAAGGCGAACAATGTTACAATCACGATAACTGATAATAATGACTAGAAACAATCAAACCAATACACTTTGTTGCTGCCTAAGAAAACAGTGAACCACAAATCAACACAACTATTATCACTTAAAGAAACACCTATATTAAAGGAGAAAAAAGAAGTTCGCCCTAATCGTGCGAGTACCCATGAGATTTATAACACGCCCCAGTGAGATTTTTCCTCATTTATGAAGGGTTGAAGAAGAAAACGCAGAAGGAAAGGGGAAATCAAGGAAAAACAACTACTTTACTTGAGAGAGTGACTGACGTGGACATGTGATTGCTGACGGTGATAAGAGGGACGGCGGGCGGGCGGTGGCGGACGAGGTGGAGGAGGGTTTCGGCGTTGTAGACGGTGGTGGTGTTGAGCAGATTGGCCACCGATTTTGCAAATGCTCCGACTGCCGCGAAAATTACCTTCCGGGGAACTCCACCCAGGTGATCTCTCCTCGCCGCCCATTCCATGATCCTCATACTCCTTCCGGCCGCCGCGCCGACACCGCTTCAGTCAATTTTTTTGTTGAGGTGAACTATTACAAAATGAACGTGGACTGGAGTTCCTTTTCTGTATTTTTTCCCTTTTTCTTTTTTATGAAGAAATCACTAAAAAATAGATTTTTTTTTTTTTTTTACATAGACCCGAAACTACTATACTAGAGTATGACGTAGATAAGCTACCCACTGATGTCGTGATCAAGCCATGAGTCTAACTTTTGGAGGGTAATGGGATCCGTTGCAGTCCTAATGGGGCATCGGCCGCTAGTACCGCCATATGATCTATCGCAAAATTAGCTTCTCTGTGCACATATTTGATCAGACGTTCCAATTCTTATGCACCGAGCTCCTAATGGCCCTCACTAGAGCCCCAGGGAAACTTGGGCGCCAACGAGATTCTTTTTCTTTTTTTAATAAAACAGACAGATTTTATACTAAAGGCATATGGGCATGCTTGTTTATAAAATTTGAATAAAAAATGAAAATTAAGTATAAACATTTTAAGATATATTATAAAATATTATTTATCAATTTAAATAGATTATATAAAAAATTTAATGTTTTTATGTTATTTAAAATAGAAAATATAAAAGAATATCTAATTGAATAGAATAAAATAATTTTGCATTCCATAAAGTTAGATTTTTTTTACGTAAATTTTAAATTATTAATAATATGAATTTAAAATACTTAAAAATTTAATAAACGTGAGACACTGACTTTATAAAAATAATATATAATCACAATACAACAAAACTTGCTTTATTTACAAAAAACGAATCAAATATATGAAATTGTAAATAGTATCAGTTTTATACATATATAATTTGAAAATATAATTAAAAAAATTTTTCTGGTAAATTTAATGTAAAAATACGAGTCCCATTTGAATTAATTATCACTTTGCTAGTAAATTGTTATTGTTGCATATTCATCATACATAATTTCACAATAAAAATATAANNNNGATCAGACGATTTTATTGAACGACTGAGAATTATCTAGAAAAATATCAAGTCGGTATTTTGCGGACTTGAGGTCGGTGTTTCTTGTACAATAATGCTAAAATTGGTAATAGTCGAGGTGATTAATGCAGAATTTATGTGTCGGGAAAAAAGATCCTCGTATTGCCTTTATTGCTGCTATTTATAGTAACTGGGGGCTCGTCTTTTGAGGAGATTCGGCGGCATTTAATGAGGAATGACATCTGCGCAGCTTTTTCTGTCTGTGGGGCCCCCTCGCGCAATGATGTCTCCACATGGGCTCTGAACAGTCGATGGTACCCGCATTAAATGCTGTTTGTCCGTTCCGACGTCGGCCGGCACCCGAGGTTGCCTCGCGTAGGAGGTCGGCTTCCAGGCAAGGTCGGCTTCCTAAATGAGGTCGGCCACCACAGGCCGGGCTACGTTTTCTCGGCACTTTTGGGCGTACCCCCTTCACTTTTCTCGTCGTCCACGTGTCAGTCATCCAACGCTAAAGCAGACTTTTAGGTCAACAGAGGGCATGGACCAAATGACCTCACCTACAAGATCCATATTATTAATTCCCATCTCCATTATTTTACTCCACCTTCAACTATATATGCAAATCTATATATATATTAAAAGCCAACCTATTTACCAAAAATAGTAGCAAGAAAAGTCAACACACATTTAATGCATACCTTATTTGGAAATTTTTTGCTATATAAATGCTTGCATATTTACATTTATTATCCAGATATGATCTTAAAGATTTTTTTCTTAAATTTTTATGCAATGATTTTACTGATATCCATTATAATTAATATTTGTCGAGTAATATTTTTAACCTTATTTAATTATATAAAACTAATATTTTTTAAATAATTATATTATTTATCATTTAAAAGATAATGATCACAACATTAAATGATTTTATTGATGGTTAGACAATAAAATTATATTAGTTATTCTTTAAAATTTTTACTAAAATAAAAACCGGCTTAAGAAAAAAAAAAATTCCATAACATCCGATAAGTCAAAAAAAAAAGTACATAAAATCTTTACTAAAATAAAATAGACTTTATTTATTTGTCTTATTCCATAATAACATCGATTTAGTCAAAACAAATCTCATAATCGGTGAAGTCAATAAATGTACGTAAAGCCTATTTATACTAAAAAAAATGAAGATTCAAATTCCTTATCTAATTTATGTTTAAAGTATTTTATTTAATATTTATTTATATGAAATATTGGATAGGATTGCTGGATCTGAGTCAATTTTAAAATCGTGTTGTTTGGTATGAGAGGATTATCCGCATCCTATATATGTCTAAAGTATATTATTTTATATTATTTAATTAATTTATTTAATATTTAATTTTTTTATTCATGATATCAGTTTTGTCAAAAAAATTGAACAAACAAACAAATAAACAAGAAACGGGATTAATTACCTTCGACTTGTAAAAATTTATGGGTGGACGTAGATATTTAACAATGTTGTTTCAAGTTCCTTAAATAATACTATAACTTTGATGTTTAAATATAATTTGTTTTATGAGTAACGTAAATATGCTGTTTAAAGTTCCCTAAAATAAATTTTTTTTTAAAGTTATGTTGTTTAAAGTTCCTTAATTTTACTGCGTACTATAATATTTGATTTTTTTATGAGGTCTTTAATAATATATGATTTTTTTTGTCAGATACTATTTTATTGTATAATTTCCCTGTGTACTATAAAACTTTTATTGAATATTGCATTTTATAATATAATATTCCCTAAATAAATATATTCTGTGTCTTGCACCGGTCCCGTACTATATATATCCCGTATATTTTTTTATTCATTTATATAATTATAAGGCTGGATAAATAACCTTAAAATTGTGCGTCCCGTGCATCGCACGGGCTTTGTACTAGTTCATTAAATTATCCAAGTAACAATAGGTAAAAGTTTTGCAGCATGGCTCACAAGCCATCTCTAACCCCACCATAGGTCAGACATACTCTTTTTTTTAATATGCATACTTTTATTATGAAATATCACACCTTAAGAAACAACGTAAACAAAAGGATGACAATTGATAATATAAGTTTGGATTTTTGTTCAAATAGTATGATGAATCGATCCGTCTAACAATCAGACTGTCTCTCACAATAATTTGTAAAGGTTTGTTTGGTTGAGTGGATTAGAGAAGCCAAAATTAGTTGGTAAGACAAATCAAAATGTTTGATATCGAATTTGGTAATGAATTTATAAGTATGACCATATGACATATTTTCATTAATATGAAGATTTTGTGTATAAGCTAAGAAAATTATGCTGTATTGAGTATAAGTTATTTTGGATTTGACTAGATTTGTCGTATAACTAGAGTTCATTTTAAAAAAATTAATTCAGTTAAATTTGAGTGAGATTTTGAAGTTGTATTAAAATTATATTTATTATATAATGATTAAAGTTGATTTAATATAAAAGTAAAATATAAGTAACTGATAATGATACATAGTACCAATTATGTGAATGAATTAAAGTTTGTTATGTGTGAGGATGATTAATTAATATTATTTAATTATTTTACCATATGATTTCAGCAAAGACATAGAAGAGTATAAGAAAATGTTACAGTCCCGTTACGAAACTATTCCGTCGGGATTTACAGCCGTTAGATTATCATGTAACCATCGAGAATAGATGATAAAACGTTACAATCCCGACAGAATAATTCTGTAACGGGACGATAACATCTCCAATAGTATAATTATCTAAAACTTAACCAATGTACGACTCCAAAGGACATAATTGCCCCTATATATAATTCTCGAATGCGCCGAGCCTACGTGGCAGCTTCTGGTGCTTCGGAATCCTACTTGGCGAAGAATCATACTTCGTAATTAGGTTCAGACAAATAATATTGATATATTAATAATTAATATCTAGGTTCGGACATTCCATAAATATTATTTAGCTAACTTAGGTATTTTAATATCATTTCTACTAATATAACACTTTAGTTCTTTGTAATTTTACATAGTGAGACACTAAGTGACTAATATATCATTGACTTTTGATTTGTTTCCTTCAATTAGCTATTGAATTATAAATGTATTTTAAAAGTTGATAACTTTTGTATTTCCTATCGGTTTTACATATATAATATATCAAATTAATCATCTTTTCATTATCTTCGATTTGACATCCATATTGTATATATAAAATAAATAAATAATATTTACCTTTATAATAATAAAAAATAATATTTATTAAATTTTATTAGAAAAATAAAATTATTTCTCAGTTGATATATCTATTAATATATAATAAGGATTAACATAATTCACTTTTAGAAATAATTTCCCGCCAATTTCATTAATTATTGGCTAAAAATAGTAAATTAAAAAAATCTGTATTTATTAGCATATCTTTTTTTATCCAATTTTTTTTAGGAATACAATAAAAAATATAGAAGCAAAATCAAAATAAATTTAGAAAATACACTTACCATACTTAATACACTTAATTTAAGAAATACACTTACCATATGTATTTTTAAAAATAAAATACAATAAAAGATATTTAATTAATAATTGTCAATTAAAGATTCTTTTTAAGAATCAATCATGCATACTTTTAATAATTGTTAGAAATAACTAATATATATATATATATATATATAT